CTTCGTGCCTCGTCTTCGGTTCACCTCAAGCCCGACGAAGAGTTAACCATCTCCTCCAGCCACGGACATGTCCCTCCGCCTCTGTCGAAGCTTCGTTGCACCTTCGAAGACGTCTTAACTATCAAAGTCCTTCGAAACGGATTAGGCTGCAACGCGATACCGTTGGCGAGAGTACTCGAAAAACGACCCCCGGGCCTTTTGTCGTTATCGAATGACGACCTACTCGTCGCCGATCGACTCCGAACCTTGGCACAATTTCGTGCGCCTCTATTCACTGGCTTTTCCCTTTGATCCTGATTCGTTTAGCGGCTCGAACCATCGATGCTTGCTCGCGTTCCTCTATATTGCAAAGTAATTTTCTTCTTGCCCGCGAATCGACCGGCTGTTGTCGATTGACTGTTCGAGGGTTTTAAATACTTTGGGGGTTCGTGCCAACCGGCAGTGTTGGAACGATTATTCAGGGATGAAATTTATTTTTTCCCTGTCTATTCGGGAGTGAATGTGAACTGTCCAGGTAGTCGTACCGTTTGAAAAGCTTAAATTTAGAATTTTTATTTGTCAATTGTTTGTAAACCTTTAGGAAAAAAAAAATGGTTCCATTTCCAAGCAGCGTGTTACGAGTACGTATCAGGAACATGAAATGAGATCATCCTTTCGGTGTACCTTTTGGAAATTACGCCCCTTCCCTTTGATGTTCTAATTTGATCCATGTCGACGTAGAAAGAAACGAGGCTAAGTGGATTTCACCGAATGAAAGAACACCGGCACGAAGCTCGCGTGGCCAAGTTAAGACATTAGCAGGAGCCTGTGGCGTGGAATCGCTGGATCCTGCTCTTCGATTTCTTGAACGAGACGATGAGATCTTGATGCTGTTGTGTACCATGTGTTTCGGAGGAGAGATAAGTGAGGGTTAGACAGGCTGGATATTGGGTATAATTTAATGGGCTGGGGCCTCGACAGAGTTTCTACGCGGCAAAAAAAAGGTAAAGAGACGGACGGTTGCAGTGAAAAGGGTTGTTTTCTAGGGTGTGAGTTTTTATTATTGTGGGATAATTCAGTGTTCTTCGAATGTAGAATCGTTTTAATTTAATTACAGTGAAAATTCTAATGTAATCAACTTGCCAGTCGCTAATTCGTTTGCACAGATTATTTAAACGGTGCCTGTTGAGACATGGGTCGAGGTTAAGTAGAAATTTCAACAATTACAATTAATTGTCGCAATTAAACCTACTAATGACATGAATTTCATTTTTCAAATAACATTCAAAGACTGACGTGAAATGAAAATACAGTTCATATTTCTTCTGTACGACGCGTAACAAGGTCCAGCGATTAAAAGGGGGGAAATTCGAGTGAATGTAATTGTTGAATTTCTTTCAGTACACGATTTCTCTCCTTTTTTCAACTCTCTGAATGGACTGTTTTGTTCAGTTAGGCCAAGAGATCCGTCTCGCTCGTCTCCGATGAATTATTTTCATTTCTGTTGAGAAATATTACGCCTGGGACGAAGAAGCCGGTGAATGAGATTAGAGTGGCACGGAGATACGTTCCGGCGTTTCGGAAGGGAACGCGCAAATGCGTTTTAAAACGAGCGGAAAAAGCGAACATCTCTGACGCTGACGGAATACGAAACACCGAAGAAAACTTTGCCACTTTTTCTTTCTCTCACGTGTCTCATCTCTCTCCGTCCTGTCTCTTCTCTTTACACGCTGGATTTTGTTGATCTTCACGCCGACAAATATTTTTGATTCGTAGATAGGTAAAAAGGGGTCCGTCGATTCGCGCCTCGGGCGCGACGAAGCGTGGAAGCTTCAAAGGCGCGAAGTAGCTCCGCGGAATAAGAGGATAACGTGGACTGAATTTGACGTTCTTGAATATTTAATATCTCGCAGAATCCCTCTTACGCTTTTTTCTTCTTTTATCATAGTCAACGTGTTTGTTCTTGTTGAAATGAAATTAACGGAGAAGCAGGTCGTGTCCGAAATAACAGCGGAAGATTGATCGTCTGCGATTGATCTTGTCGTCGTACGTAAGAAATCGTTTAATACCGTCGAATTTTATGGTCTCGCGGCTCTCAAAGAATCGTAAAACTAGAACGGGAAGGGGATATGGAAATAACGGAAAAATATTACCACTGAAAGTACGGAGGCAGAGCGATTTTATTTGAACGCGATTATACGACGACACGATTAACTTTTTTTCACTCCTGTTCTTCTGACAAATTCAATCTTTTCACGAATTGAAAATTTGTTTTTAGAAGCTTCCTCTTCTGTTAACCTACGTTAGCTTTATTATTTACGGATTCTTGCTAGTAATTCTTTTATAATATCCTTGACACGAAGGACAAAATCCTATTAGCTGCGTTTCACACTTCTATAAATCAAGTACGGTACATTTAACAGGGATTTCACTTCGCGAGAACTTATCCGCCCCTACCCAATTGTGTGTTTGCGTCTTGCACGCTGGTCCATTCAGACACCTCCGCCGCTGCATAAGTCAGAACTTCCATGGGAACTTTGTGAAATTTAACCAGACTGCAAGGAAATTCACGAAGCCCCCATCAACCACGTCGCGAAACACTGTCCTGCGATAAATGTTGCTGGAAGGCCATCCAATTTAACACTTTTGGTTTTACTCTAACAACAAGTGAACGATACTCTATTACTTTTTAATAGCACGTCGTAAAAGTGCGAATATTACAATTATATTGCTAAAACGAATAAATTAATTGATACGAAGTTTGCCAGTGGGCAGAGTTGCTGTTATAAAAGTTGCAAATACAAGCAACCTGTCCACTTGTTTCCATTTTTAAACAAGCTACCCTCTTTTTAATACTTACGAAAACAAACTTCTTCCACCAGTGTGTCGTTCGTCGTTGAATAAATTCTTCGACGTACTTTCCTGTTTTACATTTCTACATCATCTATTTACGATACAATTAATTTTTTTACTTCCACTCGTGGAAATACGCGAAGTTACCAACTCGACGAATAAGTTGCTCCGAACGACGCGTAACAATTTCTTTGCTCCATATTTTTTTTATTTGAAATTTATTAACCCGCGGACATTGCACGCGAAGACGTGATTTTCACGGTTCGCTCGCATCTCGTGCTATATCACAGAACGCATTTACAAACGTTTCACGGTTTTTCCAACGATTTGCCGCTCACTTCGCAGGGGGTTGAACGTTCAGAGCTCACGTAGGAGGGCCGGTAAGAAACGACAAAGGAGTTGGTCACAGGAAAGGAGAGACTCATGCAATTCTAAACTATTTCAATGAAATGGGGATAGCGAGTGGTGGATTTGTTGGTCGTGAGAACCGGCTGACTCCTCGTACGTACCGAAAAGAGCAGAGAGTTAAGGAAAACCACGTTTCTGAAAGGAGTTTGCTCTCTTCCTTTGTTCTAAAATTCTTACGACTTCCCTTGGTCTCTTCCCAGTCCCCTTTCCTCTCGGCAGAGACAACAAAGGAAGTGGCCTGTATCGTGACGATGGTAATGGTCGTGCGAGTGACGGTCGGACGATACGAAATTGTCTCCTCTTTTCGCGTTAGACACTTTGTAGGTAGCGAAGCGTACCGGATATGCCTTGCAAACTCTCTTTGCCCGTCGGCTGAGCGTCTTGGCTCAGCTAACTTGGAGGGTTTTTGCATTAGCATATCGACTTATTCATACAATCCGCTTCGGTTCTTGTGCCGCGGACGAACGCGCTCCTCCAGGCTATACGGGGCCGTCGATGATGGCGGCGTTGATGGCGTGCCACGCTTTTTCAGGGGCTTTGAATTTCGCCTTTCGACCCTCCGGGGAATACGTTACGACGTGTTTCGATACATTGATTTCGTTAAACTCGAGTGCTGACTGCTGCGTACTCGAAACGGCCTCGATAATGCCATAAACCTCTCGACGGAAAATATAGATTCGCCTTGACGGAGGTGCTTCGTGGAATCGGATGGGAGAAGAATTTATGGATCGATAAACGGTAATATCAGTGTCAATGAAACGTAATTTTTATCGAAGATTAAATTTAATTGCGAATAGCTAAGAGTTTTCTGTAAGCTCTCTTTTATCCGCGCAATTAGCGCCAGACAATTCATCGATGGGATTAAAGTAATTCTTCGTCTAATAGATTCAGTCGCATGAATTTTGCTTCGCTTAATTCGGACCGGTGATGTTTGAACGATTAAGTTCACTGCAATTTCCGTGAGATTACGGTGGAGCCTTCTTGATTCGCAAGAACAGTGGGCGATTCGTTAATTTATCGCACACAGGATCGTCCTACTTAGCCGACTCTTAAACTTCCCAACGTTTTATTTAAGTTTCCGGAACTACCTCATGAGGGGCTGTGTATTCTAGCCAGTTAATTGTAATATTTCCGATAATTAAACGAGTCCTTGTTATTCCTGCCAAATTTCCTTCACCGTAGAAATCTTTGGTTACGTTTAGAAACTCCGAAGATACGGCAGGAGATAAATTTAGAAGATGACAGATAAGAAATGTGTCAAAATATTTTGTATAAAAGTGTATTCGCAGTTATCTATAAACCAAAAGAAAAAAAGAAATTTGTAAATTCATTTGTCATTAAAGGAGGAAGGGAAAGAAAAAAAGAAGGTAACATTGAACATTGAAAAAAAATCCGTATCAGAGGGTAGATAATGGAGTTCCACGGGGTTAAGTCCTAAGGGGAACTCCATAATTCAAGTCCTTGCTGCGAGAGTGCCGCGAAGTCCAACTCCGAGAAAGCGTTCTGTCGGTGTCCATATTGGCCCGGCGTAGTCGAAAATTTTTCATACCAGCCATAAAAAGCGCCCCCGGGGCGAGGGTTAAGAGAAATATCAGGGGTGACGGTTCCTCGGTCGTTCGAATCGGTGGTGGACAACGAGTAACTCGGATTGGAAGGAACTGGCGCGGATCATACAGTCGCGGCGAGCACGAGCAGCGTTCTACGAACGGCGCCGAGGTTTGCCGAGGCTGACCGAGCGCCTCTGAACGCGGCAACTTGGCTACGAGGGTACAGTCGTGCCGCGGCCTCCATAGAGGGAGGTTTATGCAACCCGTGTTGCTGCTAGCGCTCCATTTCTATCGCGAGACGCGTGTTCAGTCGCCTTTCAAACGAGACCATGTTGTGACCTTCGTTCAATCATCCTTCCTTTAACGATCGAACGCCACGGGATTAAAAGAAATACCTGATATTTATCGAACAAGTAAAATCGCGAGAGGATCGTGGGTCGCGCAACAGATGTGACGCCGCGAGACACGTTCTTTATATTTAGTTGCCCACGATTTCCTCGGTTGTTCCTTCGTAAAGTACACACACACACGCACGCAGTATATGTATACGTGTACACGTTCGTTGGTTCAACGATCGACCGCGACTGTGTACTCCGACAGTGACGTAATATGGCGCGAACGAAAGTGTACCAGGGACATCAGTGACATAGAGTTTTACCTCGATAGGAATTGTTGAATGTTTAAACGTTTGCCCCATAGATAAGAGCCTTGAACAACTATCCACGGTGTCTCGTTCCTATTTGCGTCCCTCCGCGGAGGTATTCTTTGTTCCCCCCAGTGACTCGTAGTGGCTCGTGTGCAAAAGCAAGTGCAGCAAAGAAGGAAAAGCAACGTGGATCGTATTTACCGACATATCCGGCCCTTCTTAATCGACCCTTCGTCGAGGCTCTCTCTACCTGCGGAACTTAAGGACATCAGGTAGTGACGCGTCGAGCGTGGAGCAGGGAAGAGAAGCGCAGGAAGAATTCCTTTGTCCTCGAAGGTTCAGCCTGAAAGAAGGCGGACGCGGAGAACGGAGCAGCGAAGAGAAGGGATAGAAGGAAGCAGCACAGCACGCGGTCGAGTTTCTACCTCGTCCAGCCGTGTTATACCTGGCCGAGTGTAAGATCGAGATAAAGAGAGACGAGAAGGTAGCCGCGAAGAAGACGGACGAAGAAAACGAGCCTCGTGGCATCGGTGAACGTCCGTCAGCGAGTTGCCAACGCCATAGGGCAAGAACCAAGCCGTGAATACAGCGTGCCGTGTCGTTAACGAAGGCCAGATCGGGCCACGTTTCACACGCTGGATTCAGCTACAACTTCAAACGATCCGCGGAAGAAATTTTCAAACCGTTCCCATCCACGTGCGCGTTATGCTCGTTGATTAGCAACGGCTGTCCAATTCGCGTCCAGTTATTGCCCGAGTGTTTCGTATTTCGTGATTGAGGATGCCACGAGCAAGATTACCGGATGCCATGTTGCTGCTGGTCAGAGCAGCTGTTCTCGCAGCTGTCTTGGGACAGTTCCTGGGACCCAGCCATGCAAGCAGACCCGCCGGTGCTCATCCTGGCCACGCGTACTTCGAGCAACCTTGCTGCGGACGATCCCACCTCAGGCATCACAAAGGTTAGAAATCCGCCATTCTAAGCTACGTCTGCTCCGTTTGTGTCCTACACATAAATTATACAAACTGTAAAATTTGACGCTTTCTTAGCTACAGGTAGATTTTTACTAATGTTGCGGTGCTCGTCTTGATCCACTCTGTATATTTCGTACCGTTTTTATCTGTAAGGGAAAGGAACTTTGTGTAACGTAGATAACGTGCTCGAGGAAACGCGACAATGTTTGCATGTACTAAGTGTTTCTCATTGTTTGACCGATAAGTCCACCGATGCGTAGGTTCTATCTTAGGCAAACGCTGAGCGAGCATTTTGTGTTCTATTTAGTTTCAACACTGTTTTGATTCGGGAGGGACGGGTCTTGAAGGTGTTTATGGCGTCTTGTAGCTCGCAACAACCGTGAAACGAAGTAAAGTTGTAAAACGGAATATGACCGATGCGAACCATGAATTTTTGAACGAAGTTTTAAGGTACGGAAGTAACTAAACATTTATCGACCGCTTGACAGGCTGGTTGGCTATGAATTTTTTGAATACGCTAACTTTCCTCGAGTAAGGCAGCTTCTGGCAGTATTAAAAAATATATATTCTCATGTAAATATCAGGAGTTTCACGTGCACACCCCGAATTTCTCGGAAAAACACACCCCTTCGTGGCATACGGTTCGCCAACTTTCTGACATTTCTTGTTGTCCGGTTTCTCCGTCCGGAAACTACAAAAGTCCCTAGGAACCTTATGTCGCGAAGACTAAAGGTTAACCGAATCTCCCCAGCGGTTTGCTGTCGGAGTTTTCGCGTGTACGCGCGTTAAAAAAAAAAAAAAAAAAAAAAAAAAACACTTTTCACCGCCACGGCGTACACACCGAGGGTGGGATTAAAGGGTCGTCGGTTTTTCTTGTCGAGGGTCGATGGGGTGGGTGGTTTAGGAGAAGGGTGATAGTGACCGTGCTCTCGGTGCGTTCTCTTTTTGGCGGTAAATCATTTAGGAGGACACACGGTACGAAAGGGACGTAAAAACGACGTAGCCCGGTACCGAAAAGCCCGTTAGCATACATCACCAATATTATCTTGGGGAGGGTGCTGCCACACGATATTACCGGGCTTAGAACGCCGGGACTGACTTCATTATGTGCCATGGGGAGAGAGAACCGTCGAATGGAATGTGGAATGGTTGGTTGGTCGGCCAGCCGGCTGCTTGGCTGGTTGGTTGGTTGGCTGGCAGAGAGGCAACCGAACAACCATCCCAGCGAAACCATCCACCTCTCTGTTACTCTCTGGTTGTGTGCATAAATTGTGTGTGGAAAGTGCGTGTTTAGAGGAGTTGCGTGTGCGTCTGGGCTGCTCGGGTGTACCAAAAACTATGGGGTAGAGGGTGGTGGTCAGGAAAGGGAGAGAAAGGTATCCAGAGACGGGAAACGATGGTCAACGAGGCTTTTCGCGAGAAAATTTTTCCATCGCCCATGGGAGACAGCCGAGGCGCACGAAATTCACGGTACCGTTTTTTGTTTGCCGTTTTACGTTTTCTTTGGTCGCGCGAACGTAATTTTAATTGCGCGGTTGTCCGCCTTGTTATGCGAATTTGCTCGCCACTTTTTCCTCTCGTTCCGTGTGAAATTGCTGATGGAACGACGGGGAAAGGAGAGGCAACTTTACACAGGGAACACGAGTTCCTCGTTTCTCGTCCACCTGGCACGACGAACGAACATTCTGTCCGTTCTCTTGCATTCGGTATCGTTCCCGGTGGTCTTCGTTCGCGGGATGGTTTGTTTCGTCAGCGATCGAAGAAAATGGACGTCAGGTTTCTCGTTACGATGACGCTGAATTTCTTCTTCGATGATCCTCTAATCTGGCGTCGAACGTACCTATATTTGGAGTATGATGTTACACATCCTGTGCACTGCTTAGCGGTGTAACTGAAGATACGTAAATACCGTGGAACTGCTGTATTGCAGCGCACGCGTTATTGTAACGCGAGCTCCACGATAACGAGTCTTTGCATACTGATTTTCGTCTCGAAATCGATATCGATAAACGCGGTAGAAACGATCGGGGCTCTTATCGACCCATTATTTTGCACTGTAGTCTTCTATTTCCTCGACTATTAATTACAACACAATAGTTGATAAGCTTTACAGTTAAAATTGCAAACATCTTTAAATTGGACTGCGAAAAGGGTGATTTGAAGATATGTTTACAAAAAAACAACAATTTATTTACACTACACAGTTCCATTTTTTTACAATTGATGTATCTGTTAGTACATTTAAAAAAATAAAAAAAAGGGGCGAAAAAATTGGTACGCGATAGAGTTGTACAAATCGCGTGACGTTACTAGATATTCCGATTTTAATTAACGAAAAATTGAAGTGCGTTGCAAAACCGCAGGTCACAGAATCTCTATGTATGTACCAACTATCAAACAGAACGTTAATTCAATCTGTACTTGCGGCTGCGACTGTACGCCACGATGCGATCATGAATCGTAAGCCCGTGCTATCGAGTCGCTGGTAACTAACAGAACGGATATTAATTTCGACGAGCTTCTCAAACTGATCCATTGATCCAATTTGCACGCACATTTGACATCTAACGTGTTCTGGACGTGCATACACGTAAGTAGCGCAATGAAATTTACTTGAAACGTTACACGTCCGCTTATATTTCATTTTAGTTAATGCCGCTTCCGTAAAGTGCTTTTGATTTTCGTTTCAATTCGTTTATTTAGAAACGTTACATGTTATTTTTTATTACATTGATTATTTCTCATATTGTGTTTAGAATATTGATAAATAGATTAGAGACATTTTGAAATAAATGTTTGAACTGATTTAATTATATTAGAAATAACCCTTTCGAGATGGAGCATTCTTAATTTACAGAGAGGATAATTAATTTGAAGTAAAAGAAGTAATAATTCTATCTTTCAAAACGTATGTTATAAATTTTTATTACTGTCTACAGTTATAATTGTGTTTTGTTTCGAGAACTAATTCATTATTTTTTTTTTTTAATGAATAAACTTATATAAAATGTATCTACGCACAGAAATTAGTATTTTAAAAAAACTTGACATTCACCACTGCGGCTTTTACCTCCCCGTATTATTCTTCGATCGTTCCGCGCGGTAAAGATCCTTTACTAGTTTAGCAAACTGCCGTAATTTGTTAGCAAGCAAGGCAAAGTTGCCTGCAACCGGGCGAACTAACGTCGTTTTCGAAAATAGCCTCGTCGGCGATCGAGCGATTCTCGCTCGAATACGCCCGAACTTCGTAGAATTTTCATAATCGGCAATCGTTCCATTTAACGAACCGTGTCGCGAAGTTTGCCGAAATTTTTCTAAACTGAAAACTGACCCTGAGTTCGATAATTGCTCCGGCGCGAGAGAGGTTCCGACGCGGTTCTTGGATCCTCGAGCCGTTACCGTTCTTTCGCGCAAGATTTGCCTCGATCGTTGAATTACCCCGCGTAAATCCTTAATTCGAGCGGAAACTTGGAGAGTTCGTCGGGATAGGTTTTTTCAGTTTTTAATCCGCATAGAAAGCCGCGAACGATGTTCGCGCGAGTAGCCAGACAGGTAGAGAAGATCGACAGACAGGTCGATCTTCAGTATCGGCGAGTTTCCCTTTGGTCGCCAAACGTCCTAAAGATTCTCAAGATTAAAAGCTAGCCCGCCGACTTGTCCTGTCTGTCTCGCTTCGACTGACAACCCTCTCGAACGCGTTGCGAAGACCGAGCGACTGGCTAATGAAGGATGATAGCCAGGGTCTCATCCGGCACGCGGGTATTCGAAGCCGCGCGTTCCTGCGGTCTTGGCCGACCCTTCATGAATGCCGAGACATTGACTTTGCTCGACGAGCTACCGAACTTGGACCTTAGCTTCTCGAAGCTTTTGCACGGGCCGCTCGGTCGGCCCGTGGTCGAATTATCCCCTTTGATAGCATCTCGCGGTATCTCCTTCAGGATGTTTCGTTGAAAGAGTTACCGGTTTGCCGGGTCTCGACGGGCTTATTCATTCGCGAAATCATTAGCCAACTTTTCCTGCCCGGCTCGTCTCGGTGAAAGAAGATTTTTCGACGAACAGCGCCGCGTAAAAAGCGTCGAGGATGGGAGTCAGGCTGGATCGACGCGTTTCTTTCGGGTATTAGTCGCGTGCCACGTTGACTCGGTGCTTTTTGTATCGGTCGCGGCGCGAGTTCTCCTCTTGCAACTTCTCCAGTCTCGCGTTGAAACGAAAAAGGGAAGGAAAAAGCTAACGCGCAGCAAGAACTGGCAAAAGGCGAGTGAAAAGATCGCCGGAAGGGAGAATGAAGTCTGAGAGAGTGGAACGGAAAAGGCGACCGAGAAGGCGCAACAAAACGGCGTCTCTCCGCTGGTCTGGAACCCATAGATCCTGGGGAAAAGTCGTAAGTCTGTTTTAAGATGGCGACGCCGGTCTGGCGATATTATTGCCTCGACGTGATAAAACTTTTGGATTAATTGACATTTATTTTTGCGCTGTTTGGAGACGATAAATATTGATAGGGTGAGCAGGTTTCTTTCGAACATTCTATTCCTCCTAAACATCTTTTATCACCCGAAAGTCTTTTTCTTTTATTTATTTCTCGGAGTCAGCTTCGTTTTCCAGTAATTTATTTATTTCGTACAACGTGCAAAACTGATTCATTTTAAATTAAATCAATGGTATAAAATAAGAAAACACAATCATTCGGCCGCTGTGTATTAACAAAAAAGCATTCGATTTAAATGAAACTAATACATACCCCGCAGCAAACTCTTCGTATTCGAGCCGGGGTTACAATTAAAAAATAATTCCCCCTAATTAACACTCTGCCTGGCCAAAGAGCGAAATAGGAGTTTTAATTAACACGGAGAAACAGCAGCATCAAGGAACGGGAAGTAAAGGGGATGGGGTTGGCGCGTAGAATTAAACGGGCAATTGTTTCGGAGCTCTAGGAGCCGAAGCGGCGTAGAACAACGACAGCTTACACGACGAAATCCAGAAAGAGCAG